TTAAAAATTAAATAACTACATATTTTATATATAATATAAATTATAATTTAAAATTAAAATACTAATATATATTAATCGCATAAAAATTATTAGTTTAAAAATAAAGTAATTATATGTTAATTTTATATTTATAATATAAATTATAGTTTAAAATTAGTTGTAATATAAAATAATATTATAAAATTACAATAACATAATATATATTTATTCATATATAAATTATTATGTAATAAATAAATTAGAATATAATATAAATAATTTAAAATAATATAATATAAAAAATTTAAAATATATAATATAAATAATTTAAAATAATAGTATATTGTCAATTATAATTTATTTATAACAATTTATATAGTTTTAGCAAAGCTAAAAATAACTTTTCATGTGACTAGTTTGATTTATTTATTTATTTTTAAGATAATCTTTTTTGTTTTACAAAAAAAATATTGCATACATTTTTTTACTATAAACATTTTTTAAAAAAGTTAGTATCTTTTTATTTTGTTTAAAAAAAAATAAATTATGTAATTAGTATATTAGTTAAAGATATAAGAACTGACCTGCGGGTCAATAGTGCAGTGATTAGCACTCTCAGGTCGCATTTGCAAGATTGTCAGTTCAATTCCAACTAGAAGAAAAAAGCTATGCCAGGATCATGATTGTTATGATCTTAAGGGAATTTCTTACTTCTACTTATAGACAAGAATATTACAAGAATAAATGATCTATGGGGATTGCCTACTTCCAATTTTGGACAAAGTATTATAGCAAGAACAAGTCAAGTAACATAGCTATAGGGTTATATAATGTCTAGATAAGAAGATAATCTGACAAGAAATATTGATAACATAAGGATCTCAGATTAGAAAATTATTGTAAAAGGCAATAGAGATAAGAAAACAGAACCTGGAAGGATCATTGTTGATAGGGAACTGCAAACTCGAGTAAGGGGTTTTACATCATAGGGCCAGAAACCCAGTTTATTACAATAGTGATAAACTTGTTAATAATATGGTATGGTGGAGCTAGGGAACACTATTGGTGATGTATATAGCAACTAAATATGTAAACCTGTAAGTTCCAAACATTAAAAGTTAATAAAGAAAATTAGAGCACCATATGCACCCTATGATGTAATGCATTAGAGATAGTTAAAAAAAAAAAGAAATAAGAACTTTTGCTTCTCTTAATTCATTAACTGAAAGTAAAACTCATTGAAGCACATATAGTAAAGTTGTAAACAACTGTGCTTTTTACTATTTGTCTTATATGTGCACTATGATCTTTGTTCTTATTTGATGATAAAGTTTTTATTTTTCTTTTTATATAAGTTTACATAAACAATTATAAATAGCTATTTCTTTTTTTTTAGATATTTAAAACAAATAAAATTAATGATATAACAAAAATTGATAATATTATTGCAACATTATTCATATTTCGACAAGATTTAATCAATAAAAAATTCTGTAAAAACTATGAAACATTAAAAAAAATTGTCAACAAGCTTTCAG